ATAGGTACATAATATTGTAATATTATGTCTTTATTCATTGCATAGTTAAATGGTTTTAATTAATATTATTTTACTTGATTATGATTAGTGAATATAATGATTATAAGTAAAACATTAGGTAGATACCTACTTGTAATCAATAATTGACGATTTGTTTCGACGATCTTATTAGTTGTTAGCTTATTACCACATAATAATATAACCATGTTATGTTGTTCAACTAATGACTATAATGATACTAAATGAGCAGAGAAGTGCTGACCAATATTTCGTAGGGTGCCACTCACACAACTAAACATTAAATAATTAACTCATAAACTATTCGTCCCAAATTAAATTTTTACATTCCAAACATATTGAAAATACTATTCTGCAATACAGAATTAATAATGCGTGATGTCTTTGAAAAAAGTAAAAATGAATAAAATCATGATGACAAAATTAGTAAAAAATAAATTTTTATATATTTTTTCAAACAAATTTTGTTTTTTAACGATCTATGAGTAATAAAACAAATAATTTCGTTTATATTACGTTTATATTTTCTAAAATAATGTCGATCTTACGGTATTAATTCACCATCCAGTATACTGTCAATAAAAATTTAATCCTTACGTTGGCCGAAGCTTTGACGTTCAAATATGTATTTCAAGAGTTAAAGTTAGGTATACCATTCATCTTATGATTCATTTATTATTTAATTTTTTTATTTATTTATCTCGTATATTTGGAATAAGATGAAAGATCAATAATATGTGAAATTATTTTAAGACTGACGGTAATGCAGAAAAGTGGTATTCATAGAATTGGATTATCTAAAGAAACTGAAGTGAACCTAATCGCATCGCCATCTTCACAACTTTATCTGTTCATTAAGTTCATAAAACAAATACGTAAAAAGCACATACAGTAATTACAATTAAAGTAGATTTATTGGCACTGCAGGTAGTACACTCTATTGGCATCCCCAAGCTTAAAATGTGCAGCCGCAAAGTATAAAAACTATAAAAGCCTTTTATTATGATTATATTTTGAAGTAAAATTTATCAATAAATACAAAAATGTTTTAGTATGCCTATACTGTGTATAGAGTATAATATTACTTCGGTATTATATATCCTTCTATAAGTTATAACATAATATTATGAAATAAATAATAACTTATTATGTTTAGAACAGGTCACAGATTTATAGCTATTATTTATCTGTGTAACAATTTTCATAATAGTATCATATTTAAGAAATACTTTGAACATAGGATAACGACACTTTTCTTTATCAATGGCTGTATGCAGAATGACTTATATATGAATGTGAGCGCATTTACATTGTTCCTTGTTTAAAATTTTGTATGACTTATAGAGATCTGTAGCATGAATATTAAATAAATTATGCGTAAAAGAACAAGCAAAACCAACAAAACTTATCAAAGTTGTGTTATATTATGATAAATCATTTCATACAAAAAACGATCTTGAACAAAGACGGTTTGTCTTCCTCTATGTGCAAAGAGAAGATGTTGAAGTCTATGAGATGTCCGTTTTAAGTCTCAAATGTGAAGAAACACTGTACGTATGTGTTATCTATGTTCGGTCTCATGGATATAGGTATTGTAAAAAAAATTGAATAGCGATGTCTATAAAATATCGTAGCTCAGTGGTGTATGTATAATCATTACATAGTAATGATACATAGAARTTACATACTAGGTAAGTGACATGTAAAACATGCATATGGATAAAATGGTTTTCAATATCTATAAATAGATAGTGATGTCTCAAGGTTATCACAAATACATCGAGAATATATTTGTAGTTATAATAATATAATACTATCAGAACTATTATTAGGGATAGATTATTKTACTATATTTACGCTGTTTTTATATGTTTTTGTTTAAATGTTATTGATATAAGTGAATATTACCTACTCGTTTATTAAATTTAATTAAATTGTACTGCTAATTGACCAACACAATTAAATTTACCTGTTTGGCTGTTAATACCTTTCGATTTCGAGTTTAATATTATCTGTTTTATTGACGTTTCCGTTGATACATTRTAAGATATCAAGATGTCTTCAAAACAGGTAATTATTTCATGATTGAAACAAATAATTATGTTTAATGCTCAATTGGCGACATAATGCCAATATAATTAGAATTTTTTACCAGATTATCAAATACATTCCTACCTATAATCATAGGCGTAACTAGGGGGGACTTGGGGGGATTAGCCCCCCACCAACATGAATTTTAGCCACTCCTGTCGTAGATCTTAATCCCGCACTTCCCAGCAGTAGTAAAATGTTTGAACTAAATATCGTTTTATTATTTTTTTTATTAATATCTTTGAAACTAATGACTAGGGCTCGGAAGTTGTAGGAGTTGTATATTTTTCTGTATGCTCTCAATTTATAGGAGACCAAGCTAGAAATCCAATGACAAGTTTTGCATTTTTTTTGCATATTTTGTCAATTTTAGAAAAAAATTCACTTTTTTCAATTTTCATATGCTTTTTATGCTTATTTCTATATTTTCATTGGATTTTTTATGCTTTTTTAAATATTTTTGTAAAATATTTAGCCCAGTTACTTAATCACTAGTAGTTGAAACATGAACTAAGCCATGATCCGATGGGCTTTAAAGATTTGGGAGTTATGTATAAAAATCCTTAAGCTATCATAGTTTCACATATATCTTAAGAAAATTTAACTTAAAATAATACTTAAAATAATACTTAATAATATGTTCATATTTTAATGTTTTCACAATACCACCTTGTTTATTATTTGTTTTACATTACAATCATAATCAATTAATGTAATGTGTTTGGGGGTTGTGGGGGGTAGAGCCCCCCCGCTTAATCTACTTATTATCAAAATCCTTGGGCTGAACCCACTCCTAACTTTAGGGTCTAGTTACGCCTATGCCTATAATATATTATGAAAATATTAAAGTGTTTATACAATTTTATCCAACTAAAAATTATTTAAATACCTATACCTAATATTAACATATTTTATAATACTTTTTAAGGTTATTAATAATAAATTAGATTTCTGTAGTTTATTTCAAATGTAAGAACGATTTCTGCAGTCAAAAAAAAATACACAATAAAAAGTAGGTATAATTTGTTTACTAATAATTATGCTATATGGAGGGGGTCTGGGCCCTTTGAACAATATTAAACTAAACTAAAAGTAATTAATATTATTTTGCAATAATTAGTATGTATATACCATGTAGGTAACGAACGCGTGATTATTAAAAGAGTTTAAATACACCGTATTATTACCTATACCTATTAGACATCTCAGTAAAACGTCTCGATAGGTAGCTCACTTAGATCCCGTTGATGATAAAACGGACGAATATTTTTTTTACATATTTTACTTTGTATGTGTAGTACTGTAGTCTGTAGTGTACTCGTATACTCAATGCGAAGTCAGTGCGATGAAAATGTGTAAATTTCCGTAGTCCCATCTGTCTTATACTGATTGCCTATTATTTTTCAACATTGTATACTCTGACTTTACAAGATTGGACATTAAGCGTCTCTGGGTTATCTCAGTGTCGTTTCTGAGCTTAAACATCAAACTGCACATGTCTCAATGTGACACTGCGTTATTGCTATGCAACTAAAATTTGCACACAGGGATCTTAGCATACTCTTATTGTATAAATAATGAAATTCAAGTTTAAAAAAAATAATAAAATTTCACTCTGCTGTACATTAGGTTACAAATTGATAATTGACACTTACTATAATGAACTGTATTAAATTTAAATTCAATGATATAATACATTGTATACAAAAAAAAAATTCTGAACGGAGACGTTTTGTCAGTCTAAGTTATTTTATACTATATTAAGTATAAATTATTATTATTTCAAAAAAAAAAAAAAAAAATAGGTACTTACCAATAAAATAAATTCCAAATGAATCAAATCAGGTTCATTATGTACCCGATTCACTTRTCGTTCATAGCAGAATATTATGTAATATAATAGGGTTACGTCAAATAATAATAATAAAATTGAAGGTGAATTAAAATATCAATAATAAAAACTGAAAAATTAAAACACATAATCAAAAAAGTTGATTTGTTATAATACGTCCAATAGTAAGTATTACAATATTAAGAGAAAAAATTTAAATAATTTAAATAATTGATAATATAAATTATAATATATTTTAATCTGCTTAAAATTAATGATAGAGATTATAAATAATAATAATAAATAATTTATTAAGATTAATGATAATGTCGTGAAAAATAACAGAATTATTAATAGTATCAAAATACAATTATCATGGTATCGTAATATTGCRTTTTATCGAATTTTATAGTTTGTTTATAATTGGATATTGCGTAGGTATACATCAAAAATACCTTTTTTAAATGAAATAACCCAAAATATTTCACTTTGTTATTTATTATAACTTTTTGCGGAAAATGGTAGTTGTTAGAAAAATTATAAGAGTGGTTACCCGGCGGTTAAATATAATAGTTATACGACAACAAGGGTGTTGCCAACTTTGTAAAATTAAAATGGATTTGGGTGGYACTAACTATATACCAC